CGAGCGGTGGTGCTGTTGCTGGTGCTGAGGACCCGGGCGTTGGAGCTGCTGCTGGTGTTGAGGACCCGACCGGTGGCGCTGCTGCTGGTGCTGAGGACCTGACCAGTGGCCCTGCTGCTGGTGCTGAGGACTCGGGCGTTGGAGCTGCTGCTGGTGTTGAGGACCCGACCGGTGGCGCTGCTGCTGGTGCTGAGGACCTGACCAGTGGCCCTGCTGCTGGTGCTGAGGACCCGACCGGTGGTGCTGCTGCTGGTGCTGAGGACTCGGGCGTTGGAGCTGCTGCTGGTGCTGAGGACTCGGGCGTTGGGGCTGCCACTGGTGTCCCTGCTGTTTCTGGAGACGCTGCGCGGCCGCGACCGTACTTCGTACCGCTCCTTCAGCAGGTTCTTGGTCAGGCTCCTCCTCTTAGTCCTCCTCCCTCCGTAGCGTGTCCTCCGCCTGTCCAGCCGCAGTCACAGTTACCGCCTGTCTCGCCTCTCCCTGCTCCCTCCCCTTACGCTGGTCCCACAGGAGGTCTTACAGAGCGTCGTGAGCCTGAGTCTCGTCCTGCGTCGCCTGTTCGTACTGCTCGCACTGGTCGTCGTGTCCCACGTGAGCGTCCTCCTCCTGTCCCTGGCACTCACTACATGACTCTGCGTCCCTCCACTGCTCCGCAGCGTGTCCCGCTGCCGTCTCCTCCTGCGTCCTCTCTTCCTACTCTTCCTGACCCGGAGTCTGACTCTCGTCGTGCTGCCAGTCCCACTGTTACGCGTCTCCTCGCTACAGTTGTCACGGACCCGACCTTTGAGTCCTCTGCTGCGTCTGCTCTGGTCGCTGAGTTGGTTGACTTTGCTGCTCGCTGTCGCCTAGACTACGCTGCCAGCCTTGTCGCTAGGTCTGAGTCTGCGTCTTCCTGTCCTCCGTCCGTCGGGGGTGAGTGTGCCCTCGGCACGGACGTCCTTGAGGACAGACAGGAGGAGTTCCACTGCCTTGCTGCTGCTTTGCCCCGTCTCGTGTCCTTGCTAGTTGCCCCTGAGGGAGACCCGGATGCACCAGACATCCCGACCCCACGCTCTTACGCTGAGGCGATAGCGGGTCCCTACTCCTCTCAGTGGCAGACAGCCATGGACGCAGAGATGGCCTCCTGGAAGTCCACAGGCACCTACGTAGACGAGGTTCCCCCTCCTGGGGCGAACATCGTCAGTGGCATGTGGATTTTCAGGGTGAAGCGGCCGCCGGGTTCTCCACCTGTCTTCAAGGCGCGCTACGTGGCTCGAGGCTTCAGTCAGCGAGAGGGAGTAGACTTCTTTCAGACCTTCTCCCCCACCCCGAAGATGACTACTCTTCGGGTGCTGCTGCACATAGCCGCTCACCGCGACTACGAGCTTCACTCTCTTGACTTCAGCACTGCTTTCTTGCAGGGCAGCCTGCACGAGGAGATCTGGCTGCGCCGCCCCCCTGGCTTCACTGGGTCATTTCCTCCTGGCACCCAGTGGAGGCTTCAGCGGCCGGTCTACGGTCTCCGCCAGGCGCCACGTGAGTGGCACGACACACTGAGGACGACACTTGCGGCTCTTGGGTTCGCTCCCTCTACTGCTGACCCGTCGCTGTTTCTACGCACCGACACCTCGCTGCCGCCGTTCTACATCCTCGTGTACGTCGACGACTTGGTCTTTGCCACTGCTGACACCGCGGCACTCGCTCACGTGAAGTCGGAGCTGCAGAGGAGACACACGTGCACAGACCTGGGTGAGCTGACGAGCTATCTTGGCTTGCGGATCACCCGGGACAGAGCACGGCGCACCATCACCCTGACTCAGTCACACATGGTGCAGCAGGTTCTCCAGCGCTTCCGCTTCACGTACTCCTCGCCTCAGTCCACTCCTCTGCCTACCGGTCACTCGCTCTCAGCTCTGCCTTCGGATGAGTCCGTAGAGCCGAGTGGCCCGTATCCAGAGCTTGTGGGCTGCCTCATGTACCTGATGACCTGCACTCGACCTGACCTTGCATACCCTCTTAGCATCCTAGCACGCTATGTCGCTCCTGGCCGTCACCGGAAGGAGCACATGGATGCTGCTAAGAGGGTGTTGCGCTACTTGTGCAGTACGTCGGGCATGGGGCTTGTGCTTGGAGGGCGAGACCGGGTTGTTCTCACAGGGCACTCAGACGCTTCTTGGGCAGACGACCAGGCTACTCAGCGGTCGTCCCAGGGTTACACCTTCAGCCTTGGCTCTGGCACAGTTTCTTGGCGTTCTACTCGCTCTTCTTCTGTTCTCAGCTCCAGTTGTGAGGCTGAGATCTACGCCACAGCCATGGCCGCTCAGGAGCTACGCTGGCTGACCTACCTGCTGACCGACCTCGGAGAGCGGCCTCGTTCTCCTCCAGTGCTGTACGTCGACAACAAGGCTGCCATTGCCTTGTGTGAGGAGCACAGACTGGAGCACAGAACGAAGCACATCGCTCTGCGGTACTTCCTGGCTCGAGAGCTGCAGCAGCGTGGTCAGCTTTGTCTGCGTTACGTGGCCACGGAGGCCAACACTGCTGATGTGTTCACCAAGGCGCTTCAGCCTTGTGACCATCAGCGCTTTTGCACTCTGCTAGGCCTTGTACCTACTGGGCCTCACTTACTTACCTCTTGACCTTGCTTGTACTGTGATCACTATATATATATGCCTACTTGTTTACGTTTGCTAGGTTGTGATCACTGTATCTCTTGCTTTGTTATAAACCTGCATGTGAACTGGTCTTGTGACCGCTTGCTTGTGCTCGGAATTTGTGTGGAATCCTTGAGATCCACCCTGAGCTTGTTTTGCTTTGCTTTGACTGGTCTTGTGACCCTGTGGCTGTCTCCCACTGCGCCTATGGGGGTGTGTCAAACATTGCATGTTTATATTGTCTAGGCTGTAGTGGGTTACACCTTAGGGGGTACACAAAGTTAGGGTTTCCTACTTGTACCAAACTCTGTTCTAGTTCATCCATTCCTGCTCAGTTATTTCTGACAGAACTTACTAGTGAATTTTAGGTCTCTGTCTGAGATGAGTGTAGCAGGGATGCCGTGGATGGTGATGATGCGGTCGAAGAAGAGGCGAGCAGTTGCTTCAGCTGTAGCTGTGGCGTTGGTCGGGATGAAGTGTCCCATTTTAGAGAACTTGTCGATCACCACGAGTATAGCGTCATGCCCTCGTGAGGTCGAAGGAAGCCCAGTGATGAAGTCTAGGCTGACAACTTGCCATGGCTGCTTCGGTATGTGTTGGATGCACGTCATTCTGAGTGCATGTCATCCTAACGTCCTGCCGAGTGCTCGTGCTATGTGTGCTTGCGTTATTTGCATGAGCATATGTCATTACGCATGGCTGTTGGATTTTATCATCTCTGTGTTTTTCTCCAAGTCTACATGCTTGAACGTGCAGGAGAAATTCAGAGCTTTCCAACGATACCAAGATCGCCTTATTCCGACCAAGATCGCCCAAGTTACAAGATTTCCAAGTTTTGGGAATTCTATCTCATTTTGAGATAATAATTATATTGGGTGATATTGGGTCATGACTATAAAGGGATCTTTGGTTGGGTGGTTAGGAAGGCAACTTTGACTTTTGGATTGGGGTGGCTAGAAGTTTCTAGCATGGGTTGCAAATGTTGCAACACCTAGGCAAAATCCAACTAGATTGGATTTTGCATGTGACACCTCTCATGATGAGGGTTGCATCCTTGCTGCTAGGAAGGTTCTTACCATCCTTCCCTAGCTCTTGGAGAACCCCTTCCCTCTCATGGTTCTCTTGAAGGCCCCCAACTCCAACTTTCTATGCTTCATGCTTGTACTTCCTCCACCACGCTAGTCATGCAGCAGCTTGACGTTTTCGAATGGTTCTCACTCTATAGACCATCTTTTTAAGTGATTCAAATTGGAGATGGTAGCTAAGCCTAAGGTGCGCAATCCTACCGAGTGGATTTGCGTTTAGTTGAGAAATAAGTTCGTCGTAGCTTCTCAAATTGACGGATCCTGAACAACAAGTGGTATCAGAGCGGGTAGTCGACTTTGAGACGACGAATTGTAGTCAATTCTCAATCAATGTTGACAAGTGAGACCATTTTCAGATAGCTCTGCTCGCGAAATTTCGATTGGTGGTCGAATCGCGTTCTAATTCGAAGTAACCAGTCCGCGACGGCGATTTTCGTAAAGTCGAAATTTCTGGCAGAATTCTCTCCAAACGATTTCTCAAGTTTCCACCGTTCATAAGGCCTCAATATGACTGGAACGGACTCCAGAGGTGCTAATGGCGAGATGGCTAGAGGTAGAGAGGCTGGAGAGCAGGGGGGAGTTGCTGGTGGTGGAGTGGGGACTCACCAACCAGCCAACCCTATGCTACCGTCATCATCTACACCATCTCATACAACCGTGGATCCCGTGAAGGCGTTCTCTATTGAGAAGTTCATGGGGGAGGACTACGAGCACTGGAGTTTCCGTATGAGGCTGATGTATACCCAATACAAGCTATTGGATCTGGTGGAGGGGAAGGAGAAGATGCCGGAGGCCGCGGAGCTGAAAGGAGCGTGGATGAAGCGATCGTTCGACGCGTATATGCCAAGGAACAAAAATACGGTCAGCGTAAAAAACGGGCCGTTTTTTACGGTCTTTTTTTACGGTATTTTTTCCAAAAATTCGGCCGTTTTTTATTGGAGTTATTTTGCATGGTTTTTTTCCAGAAACTTCAGAAACTCATAAAACTAACCTACAATAGGCACTGCTATTTATTTAACTACGTCTACCTCTACAACTAACCCCTCCACGCTCTCTATCCTACTTACCATCTTCCTCCCGCCATCCTACTCCCCCACTACATGCCCTCCCCTACATACCTTCTACCTCCCGCCATCCTACTCCCCCCCTACATGCCATCCCCTACCTACCACCTTTCTCCTGCCATCCTACCCCTCTACATGCCCTCCCCTACCCACCATCATCCTCCTGCCATCCTACTCCCCCCCTACATGCTCCTCATCCCCATTCAACCGTACTGATCCTATTCATCGTCCTCCTCCTCCTCGTCCTCCTCCTCCTCCTCCTCCTCCTCCTCCTCCCCACTAGAACCATCACTGAGGTCCCAAGGATCGCTTCCATCACGGGTCTTCTTGCACGTCTCACCTTCCTCCCCCCCACTGCTGTCTGCCGCCTCCTCCTCCTCCTCCTCCTCCTCCTCCACCACTGCTCCCTTCCCCTTTCGCTTGCATGGAAGGTTACCCGTCCCCTTCCCTTTCCTCTTCCTCTTGAAGGACTCTCCCACCTTCGTCTTCCTCTTCTTCTTGCCAATGCTACCGAACTCATCCCAGTTGATGGTAGTGACAGACTCCTCCCCCTCCTCCTCCGCTACTCCAGCCCCCTCTTCTTCCTCTCCAGCAGAGACCGGGGCGATGGTGCAGCCCTCCTTGAGGGTGCCGTCGCTCAGGTCACGATACCGCTTCTCACGCACACCCTGCCTCCGATCAAAGGCGTCACGAGCCCTCCTCGTGAAGGCGACATAGGTGACGTCGGTCATCTTGGTGGCGGCAAGGCGGTTCCGGTCCCGCCTCTGCACACGAGCAAGCGCGGAAAAGTACCTCTCCACCTCGGATGAGGTCACTGGCTGTGATAGAGTCATCACAGCCAGCTCCTGAAGCGCCGCGACCTCCCCACCGTACATCCACCACCATTCCGCGTCAGTCAGGCGCCCGCCCTCCACCAAAGTCGTGGCAGCCCAACGAGCGTCATCGGAGCCAAGCCGGCCCTCTCCTTTGTGGAACTGGGCCAGCTGAGCGTGGAGCAATGTGCATTGCGCGACGCTCACACCCCGGGCCTTGATCACCTCATCTGCCCCTTTCCTGATCTCACGGTCGTTCCTCACCGCCCCCACGTACTGGTTGCGGGGGTTCAGGAGCCAGCCCAACGCCTGCAAGGCGTTGTGAAGCTGGCCGTCCCATCGTTTGGCGACAATTGCCTTGATGGAGGTAAAAAACGTGGCCTTGTCTTTGGCCGCCAGTAGGGTGGGACGCTTGACGAAGATTTCAGCTGTTAGGAGAGAGTAAAACAGAAACAAGTAAGATACTTGTTTGATCTTGAAAAAACGCCAGCAAAGTACGACAACACCAACAGCATTATAGTGCTTACCAGCCGCCTCAGCCGCCTCGTTCGTTTGGACTGTGGCGTCTATCATGCGGCCGTATATCTCCCCCATGATGAGCGACCTCTTGTCAACCACCCGAAGCACCCCATACACCGGAGTCATGAGGCGATGGACAGCCGTTACTAAGTCCCAGAAAAAGTCGTCCAGTAGGAGCGTGCGGACCGCACGCCCCTCCTCCGTCCGTGCCACCGCCACCTCCTCCCACTCTTCACTAATCACCATCGCCCGCAGCGCACGCTTCACCTCCAAAAAACGGCCGATCATAATCACTTGGGTGCCGAACCGCGTTGCACCAGGGCGGACCAAGGACAACTTGCTGAAAACCTCTTTGAACAAAACGACGGCAGAGGCGGATCCCTTCACCATCATCACCACCCTGTGTACTTGAGTCAGGACACGTTTCACCACCCGAATGTTTCCCATGTCGTGCAGCATGAGATCCAGCACGTGCGCGGCGCAGTTCATGAAGAACACATGGAAACCCATCACGAAGCATGTCGGCTTCGCGTTTGTTGTTGGACGCATTGTCCATCACAACCTGGATGACTTTCCTGTTCCCCACCGTGCAGATCGCCTTGCGAATGAGGGCCGCCAGGTACTCTCCGGTCTTCTTGGCCGTCTTAGAGTCTACGATATCAACAATGACGGGAGCGGTGTCGTTCTGAGCAATGACGCATACCATGCCGCGGGATTTCAGGCATGTCCAGCCATCCACCGAGAGGGAGCACCCGCTAATGTTCCAGCTGTCTTTGATTGGGCGAACAAGGTCTTCGGTATCCGCCTTGAGCTTCTCAAGCAGCGGGCCCGAAACCTTGTACGGCGTGGGGAGCGTGTACGGTTTGGCGTAGATGACGGCGGCGTCCACAAACGCCTGAAGAGCCTTCGACTTGGATACGTTGAACGCCAAGTCGTTCTCAGCCACAACCGCGGCCCAAAGATAGTCTAGGCGACCGCGAGCAAGGTCATCCGCCATGTTGCGGATCTCGCGCTGCCTAGCACGACGGACGGGCTGAAGCTCATTCGAAGACGAAGGGGCACGGTTAGAGCAGCCCGCTGTGGAGGAACGCTCACGCTCGGCTTCCGCTCGCAGCAGCTTAGCGGGATCTGACTCGCACATCGTCACGTTCATCAACTTGTTCAAAGGAGTCCCGTAAATGTGCTCCTTGATTCGTGTCGCATTAGCGGTAATGGCCTCTCCGCAGTGCTTGCATGTTGCACTAACTACGTTGGCGTCGGATGTCACCTTGTTCACATGCTTCCAGAGGTCAGAGACGGGTCTCACCATGGTGGAGAAGTTGAGCTGAGGTGAGTAATGTAAGGCTACTCTAATTCTGGAACGTGTTGTAGTGAAACAACAATAACTATTAGTACCTGAAGGGCCTGGATGCTGGGCGTGGGTTGTCGAGTGGATTTTGGGAAAGGGGTGATGAGAGGGATGAACATTGACCAACTCTGATTGGTTGAATTCAACCCAAGTCGCGAATTTGGGGTGAGTCGCACACGCGGGCGAAAGCAAAAAAGGGGGCGCGAAAATGTTCAACGAATACGCGAAGCGTTCAACCATTTGGTGTCAGCTCGTCAAATGTTTCAATGTCGCGCCTCGCACGAAAAGAACTCGTTGCGACGCGGCGAATGATTGTTACGAAAAAACGAATCGGGTAATCTGACGCAAACCCGTTCGCCAAAATGCACAACTGTAGCACATCGTGAATGTGCTGAAATTCGCGATTCGGGGGAGGAAACACATTCGACGCAATTGGGGGGTCGGAATTCAGCTTTGCCTGCTTGACTGTTAAGAATTTCAAATTTCGCTATACAGTGTCCCGTTTAAAAAAATCGGCCGTAAAAAACGACCGTATTTTATTACAACCCTAAAATGAGCACATAAACCGTATTTTACCATTTTTTACGACCGTAAATTACGATATCGTATTTTACGGTGAATTTCCAAAAAAACGACCGTCATTTTGATCCTTGGTATATGCTCATGGTGCAAGCGGTTGGCGGACGACAACTTGACCACATCAAAGACCTCTTGGGTGATCCAGAGTGTGGCCCCAAGGCTTGGAGGAAGCTTCTGGATGTGCACTCACCGACACACGCTACCGGCATCGTGCTACTCGCGCGGCGGCTGCGCGACATCAAGTTCGTTGATGGAGAGCCGATGCAACCGGTGTTGGACGAGATGCGCGACATCTTCACGAAGCTCCAAGGCGGCGGTGTGGTGTACCCGGAGCTCGTGCAGTGCGTGGAGATCGTGATACGGCTGCCGGAGTCGTGGTCTGCCCTTGCAATCAACCTCAACTCTCAACAGCCCCAGTGGAGCGTGGATTACATCCGGGCGCGCATTCTTGAGGAGGACTTGCGGCGGCGGAGTGTGGAGCGCTCGGAGGAGGGGGCTGGCTATGGAGTTGGAGGTGGAAAGAGCGGCTTCAAGAAGAAGTGGAAGGGCAAGAACAAGGACAACCCTAAGGAGGATGGCGGCGGGGGTCAAGGGGAGGTGTGCTTCTACTGCAAGAAGCGCGGACATCGTTGGCGGAAGTGCTACCAACGACCCAAGGATTGGACCCCGCCTTCATCAAGCAACCAGCGTGGTGGCACGAGGAGTGGGGGAGTCATGGGAGCTAGTGGAGAGGAGGAGAAGGAGGAGAAAGGCGGCAAATCTGAGGAGCGGAAGGCCGGGTTCTTCTTCTTCGTGAACGAAGGCGCAACCGACCTCGCTATGGCTGCCAAGGTTCTCCTACACCCCCTCACCCATTGGGTGATTGACTCGGGAAGCTCCTGGCACATGACTCCTCGTGCGGACCTACTCGATGAGATTCAGCCCGCACCCATCTCTACGGTCAGATCCGCGACGGGCGCCAAGGCCAAGGTCATGGGCATGGGATGCGCCAAGTTCATGGGAGCGGATGGAGAGCTCGTGGGGCTGAAGAACGTGCTGTGGGTGCCGGACTTGTGCGCGAACCTGATTTCTACCGACCGATTGGGAGTTGCAGGTGTGAACACCGAGACGATTGGCTCGGTGCGCTATCGTGCCTACAACGATGAGCGGCTGATTTGGGACCTGCGGCAGAAAGGGGATGTCCACAAGGGCATGTGGCAGATCCCGGTCCTCCCTTGGCGGAAATCGGGCAAGGCGGCAGCAGTGGCATCTATGGAGGAAAGCGTCACCGAGGAGGAGCAGCAGGGTGTGCAAGGAGAGGAGCTGATTGGAGGAAGCGCGGCGGTGAAGGCGTCGGCTACCTCGGGCCAAGCGGATTGGGAGACTTGGCATCGGCGGCTCGCACACGTGGCTGTTTCCACATTGGAGTGATGCACAAGGAGAAGTGCGTGCATGGGCTGCAACTGCAAGGAGATGGCGCTCACTATGGCAGCTGCGAGGCGTGCATGCAAAACAAGTTTGCGCGGTTCCCGTTTCCACGTGCGGAGGGATCGGCGAAGGCACCATTGGAGGTGGTGCACATGGACCTGGTGGGTCCTATGAGGACGGAGGGGACTGGGGGAGTGCTGTACTTCCTCACCATGGTGGACGAATGGAGTCGGTTCACGTGGGCCCGTCCCTTGTCCAAGAAGAGCGATGCTGCAGCGGCGATCAAGGAGGATTGGTTGCCGATGGTGGAGCGGCAAGCGATGCGGCTGGTGAAGGTGCTGAGGAGTGACCGTGGTGGAGAGTTCCTTGGAGCGGAATTCACCAAGTTTCTCAAGAGGAACGGCATTCGACACCAGCTGACCTGCCCAGGAACACCGCAGCAGAACGGCATTGCTGAGCGTGCCAACCGGACCATTGGCGAGGCGGCTAAGACTCTGTTGGGGGCTGCTGGGATGCCCTACAAGTTCTGGCCTGAAGCTGTTCGCCATGTCATCACGGTCAAGAACAGGGTCTTGACGCATGTTGGCGACAAGCACTGGGTGCCGTACGAGCGTTGGCTTGGGAAGAAGCCATCCATTGACATGCTGCGGGTGTGGGGCTGCATGGGGCTTGTGATGGTGCCTAAGGAGCAGAGGCACAAGCTGGAAGTTGCTGCTGTGTGGGCTGTCCATCTTGGGATGGCTCCTGACTCGAAGGGGTGGCTGATGTGGGACCCCAAGAGCAAGAAGACGCTGGTCAGCCGTGACGTCAAGTTTGTGGAGGACGTCATGTACAAGGACTGGCAGCAGCAGCAGCAGCAGGTGCAGATTGGCTTGCGTCTGCAGGAGATTGAGCGGTCTGCAGTGGAGGAGGTTCAGCTGCACCTTGATGATCTCCCTGGGTCAGAGCTGACCAGTGACCACAGTGGCGGTGGTGAGCAGCAAGGGGCTGGTCCTGCTGCGGAGGAGGGGTTGGAGGATGAGTCGGCACGTGTGGACTCACCATCTCAGCCCGAGCCTGCTGCAACTGCCAAGGTCACCAAGAGGAGTGTGCAGAAAGGAGCTTCACCACATGGGCAGCAGACTGCAACCCGCGAGAAGAGAGTGGCAGCAGCACCTTCAAGGCTGAAGTATAGCCGTCTGGGAGGACCCAAGCAAGGTGCCATGGCGGTTCAGGCGGATGAGGGAGAGGATGAGGAGATGGCCTTCTGTTTCTTCACACCCTTGCCTGGAGAACCAGCCACAGTGGAGGAGGCACTGAGTGGACCCCAGAAGGAAGAGTGGAAGGCTGCCATGGATGCGGAGTTCAACAGTCTCATTGAGAATGGGACTTGGGAGCTTGTTGAGTTACCCGAGGGGCGACGGCCGATCAGCAGCAAGTGGGTCTTCAAGGTGAAGAGTGGTGCTGATGGTGCGCTGGAGCGGTTCAAGAGCCGCTTGGTCGCCAAGGGGTTTCAGCAGAAAGAGAAGGTTGAATTCAAGGAGATCTTCGCTCCCGTTGTGAAGCTAGCAACTTTGAGGACAGTGCTGGCTGGCGCAGCTGTGAAGGGATGGCACGTGAAGCAGATGGATATCACCACAGCGTTTCTCAATGGAATACTGCTGGAGGATATCTACATGGCGCAGCCCGACGGCTATGAGGATGGGACCAGCCGGGTGTGCAAGCTCAAGAAGGCCATCTATGGCCTTAAGCAAGCGCCCAGGTGCTGGTACGAGAAGCTGGAGGAGGTGCTGCTGAGTGGAGGCTTCAAGACGTCCCAAGCGGATCACAGCTTGTTTCTGCTTGGAGAGGGGGAGCAGCTGCTCTTGCTGCTGGTGTATGTCGATGACATACTGCTGTTCTCACCTTCCATGGAGCAGATTGAGAGGACACAGAAGCTGCTGATGGACAACTTCAAGTGCAAGATGCTGGGGGATGTCCACTACTACTTGGGGCTGCAGATTGAGAGGGATGTTGAGAGGAAGTGGCTGAAGGTGCATCAGTCACACTACATCTCTGGTGTCATGGAGCGCTATGGTGTGACTGGGGGTCGCACTGTGATGACGCCGTTTCCTGCGGGCTTCAAGTTGAAGAAGGCAGCTGAGGAGGATGATGTGCTCGAGGATGAGCAGCAGAATGAGTACCAGTCACTCATTGGGAGTGTGATGTATGCTGCTGTGCATACAAGACCCGATGCTTCATTCGGAGTGGGGCAGCTAGCCAGAGTTGTGCAGCGGCCCACTGAGGAGCAGTTGGAGGTGGCAAAACGGCATCTGCTGGTGTTCAGTTTTCAGCTGGAAACAGTTTGGAGCAGATGGGATCACGCCTGGAACCTTGAAGCTGTCGTGCTTCACCGACGCCACATGGGCCTCAGAGGAGGAGGATCAGTCATCAGTTGGCGGCTTTGTGTGCATGGTCGGAGGTGGACCAGTGAGCTGGAAGTCTAAGAAGCAGAGTGAGATAACTCAGTCTTCCGGAGAAGCAGAGTACATGGCGATGTACCATGCCATCAAGGAGATCGTGCTCCTGAGGAAGCTGCTGGAGGACATGGGAGCTGAACAGCAAGGACCTACACCACTTATCTCTGACAGCGAGGCTGCTATTGGCATGGCCAATAATCCTATCCTGAATGGGCTGAACAAGCACATGAAGATTAAGTGGCACTGGGTGAGGCAGATGGTGAAGGAGGGGATTGTTGAGCTTCACCATGTGAAGGCTAGCAAGCAATCGGCAGATTTTCTTACCAAGAGACTACTCGAGAGCGCACATTGGAAGTGTGCTAAGATGTGTGGCATGGCGTTGCACTAGTGTGGGCAGCGGTGTCATGAGTGCATGTGTGCTTGTATGCATGAGTGTTTGCATGCGTGTCAGTGTGTGTGCATGCAGTCCGTTAGTCTGAGGGGGAGTTTGTTGGATGCACGTCATTCTGAGTGCATGTCATCCTAACGTCCTGCCGA